CCATTATGGAGGAATCTTCTGGTTTTTTTTCGGAGTTGTTTTGGTTTTCTTGATTTTTCGTTTCTGTTTAATCACCTGCACTTTTGGTAGCGATTCACGAGGTTTGAACGAGTTAGGCTGTAGGAAAGATTACAGGGAACCCTGCCGGCTCCGCCTGTCCTTGACCCAATGTGGAAAACATAGCTTTAGCTTAGGACAAAATAAACAAAACAAAACAAAAACAGTGCTTTAAAGCCCCATGCCGGTTAGCTCAGCCTATAAAGGGCTACCCGACGCACCGGCATTCCCATAACAGGTTAGATGTTTGGAAGACTAATGACCTCCAACCCTAGTCAACTGTAACGTTTTCTGTCTTTTTTTTTTTTGTATCAGATTTTAATTGCGTATGCAGCTATCTAGCTATGACACAATATCAGAGAAAAGTACAGAAAAGATGACTCAATTTACAAGAGGAGCACTCATGCCTCAGATTTCATTTGCAAGTACCACTGCGAAGTTATGGTGGCTTTTTCTTCACCCCAAGTCAACCCTCATCCGTGAATACCCACCCAGGGAAACGTCTCAAAAACCCTGAGTTATCCAGACATGCCTCTGTCATCCATCAACTTTTCTCCGCGCGAAATGTAATCTGAGATGTCTCCTTCCCAAGTGGAGTAGGTGCCCAGGTTACTCAAACCATGCCAGAGAACACCACCAGGAGGCGGACCACAACACCTTCCATCGTTTGCTTGTTTTTATAGTGTCAGCTGCACTCTCACAAGCAAAGTCTTGGCGCGCACAAAGCTCAATCCGTAAAACTGCTTACTAAACTTCGGAATTTCACTCCCTTTGAGGTTATATACTTCCTTCGCATCATTTTGTAAACTTGTCCTGATCCCTCTCACGTCCATCCCAAAGAACTGTCTCGCAGATTTGTGCTCCACGCTTTGCTTCCTCCAGAGAGTGTAAATATCAGCATGGGCGTGTATTTGGTGACCAGCTGAGGCCAGAGAAAGTCGACAAGAGGTGTGATCATTGGAAAAAGGATATACTAGGTTGAACCTGTAAACTTGATGAGGCTAAGGTGGGAGTCGATCTCGTTGGAAGTGAAAAATTGACGTGGAGGAGTGTTTTGAATCATTGCCTCGTGGGCCAACTTGTTCGGTATTGCGAAATTTGACAGAACTTGGCTCTGGGAGAATATTTCACTCCCAGGCTCGTAGAGGACACCGCGTACAGGTGTTCGGTCTTGCCCTCCCCTTGCTTCATTGTGTTGTTGTAACCCTTTCACATATTTTTTACGTCACTCAGTTTTTAACAAATAATCTGTTATTAATCCCAGCCAGTCTCTCGCGAGATTAGAAGAGAAGACCACGATTTTTCTATGAGCTTTAGAGCCCCCGACCTTGAAACCAAATCAACTGATGAAGAATCCTTCCAATCCCAGGAAAGCTACACAATGTCAGAACAGGCACAAGGCAATGGCTCCTCCAACGACGAAAATATGATTCATGAGCAGCAATGTGGACTATCACTACCACAAGAGCAACAGAGCCGAAATCATCAGCCACCCCTAATTCACGACCTCTCGAATATCTCACCACCGTTATACCAAGCCCTTCGTGTTATAGGCTAGGCCTAAGTCTCAAGGATGAGAGTTTGACAGTGTTCCACGGGGTGCGTTGTATAGCCTAGTGAAGATTATAAATCGGTCAAAGGGATGACAGGTCTTCTCTAGGAAGAGATGAATGGGCAACTAGTTGCAGTAGACGTTATACGTGGGTCTTGCTGATGAAGAGCTGGGCAATGGATATATGGTCTTCCCGAAGAAGAGATGGGTAAACAAATTTATTGTAAAGGATAAGTAAAGAAGACGTTGCGTGAGGAGTAAATCTCTCTCACGCTGAACTATTATATACAAGAGTAGAAGCATTTGCCAGCCGGAATTAATGGTAATCAATTCTTGCCAATATCTTCGCATTGATGGCTGTGTTCTTGTCCTTATCTTCATGGCTCTCTCGCATATCCTTACATGACTTTTTACACGACTAGTTGTATAGGGGAAGCTATTATTAAATTGATGGTTTTAATTGACTACCCCTTCATCTTATCACGAATTAATATTAGTATTAAAATTCTATTTACGGATCCGTGAAAACCAGCAACTTGGTTTTTGACAAACAAAGCAGACTTTAATTTTGTTTTTAGTATTAAAATTTGATTGAGTTCTTGAAGATTGGTAACTGTTGAGGTTTTGTAGTGACTGATGTTTATCTGGACGAAGATTATTATGATATCTACGATCAATAAAGTAGGAGGTGGAGTTTGAATTGGATGGATCTAATTGTTCAGCTTTGATAGCTGCTTCATAGTTTTCGATAGCTGTATAAATATTATTTGATAGAGCTGCTAGGGAGGAAACTGGCCGAAGAACGGCGGAGCTACAAGATAGGATATCATTGACAGCTGATATAACTTTATTACGAATTGCGGTGTTGGATTGAAATTCTCGATCAAGGCCTCTTTTTTTTTTTTTTAAATCATTAAGTGTATGCAGCCTAACTAGCTATGACACTGATCAAGGCCTCTTTGGATGGATCGCAGATTCTGTACCATTTCATTGAAAACTTGGCCTTTCGATTTTTCGGGAATTTTCTGCCACATAGATTGTGAGTTAATCGAGTTCCATTCACGCAGCATGTTTTGACAATGTTCAGCTCCTTCGAAGTGAGTTTGGAATTGTTGGACAAGATTCGTGATTGAAAGATCAGTTCCATGAAAGTTTGAGTGGTAGAATTCGAGCGCAATTCCTTTTAACATTGAAGAAAAAGCAGTAGGGAGCGCTTCGTTGGGCAGATTGGCTTTGGAAGAAAAATTGATCAATAGCCCAAATTTATAGTTAAAGCTCTCAGTGGGCTCGCCTACATACTTATTTTCTTTACAATAAATTTTAAGTAAGTTTGTTCTTTCCCTACTATAATTATTGACCTAGATCCTTCGATATATCATGTCTCTGAGGATGGTAGCATCTGTGAGGTATTTTGAGATATTGCATGATTTTGGAAAATTTGGGTGGGCGGAAAAGAAGAGGGTAAGTTTTGAAATTCAGGATTTTGTGAAGAGCTTGCGGGAGTTTGATTTTCACAGTGATGATTTTGTCGTTGGTCACTTTGCCTGGCAGAGTGATCAGAATTCTGGTTCTGAGCCTGCAGAGTAGGGGTTTTCATTTGCTGATGAAGTTGGAAATGTCGTTCAGGATCATCTTCTGGCCATGGAATTTCATTTTCAACTATATCTGCTAGAGCCTTAGCTACTTTGAGAAAGCGACGTATATTGACATAAACACCATTTCGACGGAGAAATTGGCAATACCTGCTGATGTCTTCCTTTTTAATTTTTTCGAAGTCCTTTTCTTTGAAATGAACAAAATCAAGGCAAAATTGACTTGCCAAGGTAGCATTAATTAGTTCGTTTTCTTCATATACTTTAAAGGTATAGCCGGCGAATTGATGGATGGTTACCGTAGTGTGTAAGCCTGGATTAAATTCTCCTTGATAGAGGTCTTCTATTTGCTCTGATAGCTTCACTGTTTCTTTGTCAAACGGTTGATTTTCTTCTAATTTGGATGTTGATGATGCCATGCTGAGGGCCTTTGATAAGTTTTTAGCACGCTAAGTCCAAAGTGACTTAGCGTTGACTGTCTACGTTTTGCTGTTCCTTTCGGTACAGGGAGTTTAAACAAGCAACCGGAATATTTCCCAGAGCAGAGTCGAATTGATCTAGTACGCAGTTTGCGTACTGTCGCGTTCGGCAATGATCTTTTGGAATACAGTGGATGAGCTTCAGGTTGATCTGGTACGGCTAGTTTTGTACTATCGCGCCTGTAACTGTAGCCACGAATATTTCCCTTAGAATTAGACCTAGCTAATCTGTGTACTTTATCTAGTACACTGATCAGTGTTGGAAAAGATTCACGTTGTAACTAGTTGATAACAAATAGCTCTATCTATCTCTCTCTTTTCTAGTAGGGAATCTACGATATAATGGTACTACAAGAGCGCACAGACCCACATGTTACATAAACAACACACAAATAAAGCATATTTACCGACAGTTAATGTCCTGCATCATGACTGCAAAGATATGAACTTTGCATTTTTGGTTAGCAGGCCTTGCAAGTTTGATAAAGTGAGCTGCGGTTACTTTGGTAGCCGTGGCAGCATGATGTACCCTTTGTCTTAAACTTTCTGGCGCTTTACTATCATACCAATCTTTTTCTCTGACGACTTAGCCTGTCTTTTTTGGCCAAATCTAATAGCTCATTTTTCTGACAAATACACCATGTCATTATGCTCCATCCATGCCTTGCCTAAGATTATGTCAAACGCTAAATCTTGGATAATGTAGCCATGAATTTTTTCTAGCCTTCCATTGATGTCAACATAAGCGTACGTGATTTCATTTATTACTCTTCCTCTTTCTCTTCCATCATTCTTAGCAAGTTGAAGAGATTTTGATGGGATCTGGATGCGCGGGAGTTTATTTTTATTTACCAAAGAAGTAGAGAACGCAGAAAAACACAAGCATCCCGTATCAATCAAGGATTGGACATAAAAACTTGAGTTTATTTGACATTTTATTAGGAAAGGGTTACTATTCATTTTCTTAAGTACTGTAGCGATACTTTTGGGCAAATCTCCCTTACAACCCTGAGTGCGACGTTGCTCAGGGCTCATTCTTCCCCCGAAATCCCATCAACTGAATTTTCCGACACGTCTGTGTCCTCCAATTGTGCAAGAGGTTTTTCTCTATGAGTCCCCGAGCTTTTGACATGTGCTATGGCAGTCAGATTTTTTGCAGGTCGGTATTCAGGGCACGACCATGTCTTATGTCCTTTTTTTGCGCACCTGATGCATTTGTCCTCGTCAGAAAGCTGCTGGAAGTCTTCTTTTGACTTCCATTGCGCTCTCGGTCTATCATCAGAGGACTTACCTTGATTTTCCGAGGGCATTTATGGCAGCCTATAGAGCTGGTAAGGAGCTAATACCCCCCATATTTGTGTCTCCATTGGCATCGAGAGATAGTTGGTAATTGCTTTGAACTTTGCCGAAAGTTGGTTGGGAATTATTACCGTTTTGAGGAATGTACCAGGTCTTTTTTCCCGAACAGCTCTTTGGTCTATATTCCGGTGTATTTTCGAGACGTCCGGCAAAATTTTTTACCTTACTCACCCATTTCTCGTGATTATTGTCTGACATAGTTTTGTTCAGCAGTAGGAATCGTAAGGTGGCATTTATCCCTGTATTCAGGTAAGTAATTTTGTTAAAGTCCAACCATCCTGTTCCGCTGCATTGCGACAACTTCAGCTCGAAATCCTGGAGATAGTCAACAAAATATTGGTTGGCACCCATTTGCATGCGCTGTAACAGATCTCCGGCGGTCTGCTGTGCCTATTTGTCCTCAACTTGAGATCTTACATGATCTAAGAACTCCTACCAGTTATGATTTTCGTCGAGCCCTCCTGTTTCAAACCAGTGCAAGATACGTGGCTGTTTTGTGGAGGGTATTGAACGAAAAATTCCGAGGCAGATATACTGGTCAGATCCTAGTGAGTCCTTGTCCTCTTCGATTTTAAATTTTAAATTTTAACAGCAGTATATGCAAATAAAATGAGGGCAGTAGGCCATCCCACACGGGACACTGGCTTGCACTAGTTTGGTAGCGTAAGGGTTGGGAGTTTATAGCTGTCAGCGTCGAGGGGACGTTTGCTGGAGGGCAAGGAGGGGTTTGGAAATTCGATGGTATTTGTGTACTGGGCGGAGGGAAAGGGTTTTGAGCTGAGATATCTCAGATAATTTGGTCTCGAAGTATAAGAGTCGGAAGTAGAATTGTATTCAAATTGTACTGTAGGCTATGTTGAAGGTCGTGAACTAAAGAGAGAAGTTGGAGTGGGAATGTTCTCCCTTATATACATGGGAATGTGGTCAGTGCTTATGATCAAACAGGGCAGATCCCATGTTGCCTAAACAGCCCTAGCTCGTTCATCTATAACCTAGCCTTAGGTGCCTAAGGCCCTAGCCTATGACATTACCCTCTCTATCCTCCTTTCCTTAATCATGTTTTAGTGTTATGTCCAGGCATCCTTGAAGAGGTTTCAAGGAGAAGGTTCTGAGGAAAAGGTGATATGAGAAGGTTTTAAGAAAGGTTTTGGGAAAAGGTTTACTGAGAAGGTTTCCGAGAAAACTCTGACAGTTAGAGATGGAGGGGCTGGCGTCATGACGGCATTTGTCATAGTCTTAGTTGAGTTCAAGTACTATCTCGAGTTAGACTTAAGGAAGCTTGAGCTGCCACATAGTAGCTCTCCAGCTTCTCAATCTTTCATTCTTTTGATCTTTGATCTTGCAATCTAGATTTACATAATGTTATAATCTTATATTCTCAAAGTCCGATATTCTCAGTCTTTCGTTATTCGTTACATTCTTCGTACTTCTGTTCACCCTGAGTTATCAGCCTTGATCGCCTGCTCTTCAACTCGATTTCTTGACTTCGTGTCTTTCGACTATTCTGTAGTTCTACAACCTTTGACTACCCGGCACCTCGCCAATCGAATCATATCTAAGTATCCTTCGTTAGCAACTGTAATCCTAACAGTTATTACTACCTTACCTTCGGCAGACGGCGATCTCCAGTATCCTTAGCGCACGCCGTACATTTAGCCTCATATGTGTCCAGTGCAATTGTCTCCATAAAATCAACTTCTGGATCCCATGGTGGTTTGGTATATCCTGCCCATTTCACAAGTACCTCTTTCCTACTTCCTTTCCCTATTTTTCTAGTCCTTGAGTCCAAAATCTCATCAATTCCAAATTATATATCTTCTGAGGTAGTTAGGACCCCTGTAGCCTGTGAATCTTCCATTTTTTGAGACGGAAGTGGATCTGCACCAGCTGGTCTTAAGAGTGATGTATGAAATTTATTGTGTATGCCCTTTGGTGTACCAAGCCCATAGAAGTGGGCAGAATCAGGAAATGTTCTAATGATAGTATATTTGGGGTGTATCCAGTCAAGTTTCTTAGATGGTCTTTCTGTGACTATATTCTTAAGATTAAGCCAGACCTTATCTCCGGGTTGATAGCTTTGTGCAACATCTCTTGAGTTATTTGCATATTTTTTTGGAGACTTTTGGGTAATTGCCATTGAGGTTTAAGCAAATTGATGAGCTTCTTGAAGCTTCTCAACAACCTGCTGTCCTCGGGAAGCTGGTGTTCCTGGTGCTGAAGTCTCACTTTGAGTTGTTGAAATGGAGCTAGTATCATATCCATGAATCATAAAGAATGGACTTATTTGGGTTGTTGTTGCTGTCTCATTATTGATTGAAACCTACGCCAATGGAATCTAATCTTTCCAGTCTATCTGTTTATAGGCAATAAATGTTCTCAGATATGTCTCTACCTCTTGATTAGCTCTTTCAGTTGATCCATCAGTCTCTGGGTGATAGGCTGTCGAAAGTCTCTGATTGATATCGAATCTGAGGCATATTACGTTCCAAAAAACATTCACAAATTGAGGACCTCGATCAGAAACAATTGCCTTTGGGATCTAGTGGTGTGGTAATTAATGCTCGAAAACAATTTTGCCGGTTCCTCTGCATTAAACTTGTCTATTGGTACTGGAATTAGAATGAGCCCTTTGCTTAATCTGTCAGTTATAACTAAGAGTATTGTTATTTTTTCAGGTCCAGATGGTGGAAGGCTAGTTATAAAGTCCATGGATATTTCCTGCCATATTTGTGATGGTATGGGCAGTGGCTTGAGTAGGCCTTTCTTCTTATCTCTCCAAATAGTTGTCCTACCACAAACATCACAGTCTCTAACAAATTGACTCATCTCCTGATTTGATCCTGGCCAAAAGAAATTCCTGGACACCAGAGAAATTGTGCCATCTCTTCCTGGGTGACCCGGGAGGAATGAATCATATATCTTTTGTATGATAGCTGTATTCAAAAGCTCGTAATTGGGTAACCAGACTCTTTCTCTATAATGTAAGATGTTATCCACTGATACTGAGAACTCTTCAGTTGCAATCCTTAGCTTTAGGTCAGTTGGAAGCTGTCTGTCCTGGTTCTTGACAGCATTAAATGCTTTCAGATAATTCTCAATTATTTCTGCTGATTTTAAGGCTTTATTCCATAAATTCTTAAGGAATGGGTCATCCAGAAATGGACAACCCAAATCATCAATAGTTTTCTATTAATCCAAAGCTTAGGTCCCAGGAGGATATTTTCTCTTGCAGCAATCCTTGAATCTGAAACATCCTTCGGGATATCTTGTTCCCTTCTAGATAGCGCATCTGGTATAGTACTCGATTTCCCGGGTCTATGCTTAAGTCTAAAATTCAGAGGTGTAAGAAGTTCCATCCATCTGATTTGTCTTTCATTAAGCATCTTTTTCTTTTCAAATGGCTCCAGATTTTTATGATCTGTGAGAATAGTAAAAGGCTTACTAAGTCCTCTCAGATCGCTATGCCATTCTTTGATGCATTTAACAATTGCTAGAAGCTTCTTATCGTGGATGTCGTAATTACACTCGGCTGGAAGATGTTTGGCTGAGAAAAATGCAACTGGTCTCCATACCTTAGATACTGGATCAAGCTGTGTTAGCGCCCCTCCTACGGCCAAACCGGACGAATCTGGCTCAAGCTGTGTTTCTAAATCTGGTTTAAATGAAGCTAGAACAGGCTCCTCCTCAAAGAGTTTCTTCAGTTCCTGAAATGAAGCTTCGCAGTCTTTGTTCCATTCAAACTTTTGATCTTTTCTGGTCAGATTTGTCAGGGGCCTTGTTAGTTTCGCAAAATCATTAATGAAAAGCCTATAATAGTTGGCAAATCCTAGGAATGATCTTACTAATTTAAGATTTGTTGGCGACTTCCATTCAGTTATTGCTTCTACTTTAGCTGGGTCCATCCCAATTCCAGATCCAACATCAATAATGTGTCCTAGGTACTTGATCTTCTTAGTTTCAAACTCGCACTTTGAGATATCTAAATGTAGCCCATTTTCTAGCAAGCTTGATAATACCTTGGTAACCCTTTCCCGATGGTCTGTTATTGTTCCGGATGTGAAGATAAGAATATCATCAACATATGCTGAGCAAAAGTCATCCAAGTACTCCCTAAGAATCCAGTTGATATATCTTTGGAAAGTTGCAGGTGATCCAATAAGTCCAAAGGGGCAAACTTTCCACTCAAATAAACTGTACCTTGTTCTGAAAGCAGTCTTCCACTCTTCGTCTTTGGCCATCCTTATTCTGTGAAATGCGGCTGAAACGTCTAGTTTTGTCAACCATTATGCAGAATTTAGGGCGTTTAATGTCTCTTTGATAAGAGGAAGTGGATATCTATCTTTCTTTGTGAAGGCATTTATCCATCTGTAGTCCACACAGAATCTTAGACCACCTCCAGGCTTCCTCGCAAATAGAACTGGCGCTGCAGCAGAATATTTACTTTGTTAAACAAATTCCTTATCAAGTAGACTGGTGAGCTCATTTCTGAGCACAAGTAACTCATCATGGCTCATGTTGTAGAGGGGACCCCAAGGCACAGGTTTATCTTGTCCATTTTCATCTTTCTCGAGAGGGATTTCATGGTCAATTCCAGGCCTATGGACTGGTAGACTTGCAGCTTCTTTGGGATTGAAAACCTGTGCGCAAGACTTGTAGGGATCAGGTAACTGTGAGATAATTTCCTCTAGAGGGAGCTGTGTCTTTGGTCTTAATGCTTTCTCAATGTCAGATAGAGATGCTGCAAATACTCGTATTTTTTCATTCTTTCTTGCTCTATTTGCAAGCCCTGCAAAGGTGGAAGCCATTATTTGATTGGCAATGAATGCAGAGTCTCCAAGCTGTTTGTCTCTTTTTTCTCGAGCTTTGTTGCTGATGAGCGTTAAGCTGTGTTGTTTGAATCTTAGTTGGGAATTTACTCAATCCAGCTCTGCATGACAATACTTCAGCCATGGCATTCCAAGTATCATATTTTCTGTCAAGTTAGATACAATATGAGCCAAGGCTCTCAAGGTTTTTAGATCTCCAATATCCAAGCTGAAGCAGGCTACTCGGTCAATGATTCCAGCAATTTTATCTAGAACCCCAGTGATAGTTCTTGGCTGTAAAGGATAACTTGATAGTTTGAGCTTCTGCAACTGTTTCTTGCTAATGGTTGCAAATGCAGATGATCCTGGGTCAATGAGAGTGCACAGTTGATAAGATTCATCAATTAGAGCAGTTGTGTGGAAAAGTTTCACGGATCCGTAAATAGAATTTTAATACTAATATTAATTCGTGATAAGATGAAGGGGTAGTCAATTAAAACCATCAATTTAATAATAGCTTCCCCTATACAACTAGTCGTGTAAAAAGTCATG